CTGTCCCCAACCACAACTTTAGAGGAGAAATATCCCTGGACGTTGGAATGGGTCTAGGGAAACAAAGTCAGGTAATATTGAGTCGCAGCGCAAAAGTGTCAGTCTTTCTGGAGCTTTGCCTTCTCCTGCAGCCCAAACACATTCAGACTGGGCATGAGGTCAACTGGACATGTACATGTACTAACATACAGTACATTCACAAACATTTTCCTACAATGTGAACACAGCATCTGGCCTGAATCAGGTTGTGCATTTTAATGAAAATACTTCCACGCAAGTCAAAAATTGATGACAGTACACTGGCATTTAATTTCACTGACAGTATTTCAACCTGCTTTCTCATGATTTGTGAGCTGTTTCTACAAGAAACATTACTCAAGCCCGCCCACCACCCACCTACAGATAAATGGTTGGATGAGTGTGACAGCTGGGACAATGTTTAAAGGCCCTTCTGAAAAGTGGCATTGGAAATTAGCAGCTGTTATAAATGCTGTGATGTATTGCATTGAGTCGCTGTGTTCTGTCCTCTTCGTGTTGGATCTGTCTGTCGTAACGTGCTGAAAAAAATTAAATGTACGTATACATCCATTTTGCTGAGTAACATGGTTGAAGAAGAAGTCTTCCTCGCACTAAGTGACATGAAATGCATCTTAGCTGAATAACCTTATTCACTCTCCCTGCGCCACACTTCTGCTGACATTGGACTTTTAGCTGCTGCTGGATCATTTACTTTATTGTCCCTTAAGAAATGAAAGTGATCGTTTTTTCCATTGTTCGTTTTTTTTTTTTCCTACATTTTTCATATTAGACCAAAGCATGAAATTGAACTTGTTTGTGTTTTAAAATTGCTTTTAACACCCATCACCAAAGTGAGCAGGGGGCAGCTTTAAGCGCCCGAGGAGCCTTGTGTAGGAACAAAAATGATATGTTTCATCACTGTGTCATTTCCTGCTCTTTAAGTTTATATGTTACCAAATAATTTGGTTGAAAGTGGTCAATTTTTCTACAATCATTAGTATTGAAATTGACATTGTGCTTTGCTAGATTGTTTTGTGCTATTTGCTTTTTCAATTGTAGTTTATTCAAATATGTTTGCTTTTAAAATTGTAAAAACAAAAATCTGAATTTTAGCTGCAACATTTTGGGAAACAGCACTCAAATTCATATATTTTTAGTCGCATCAATTCTAAAGTTTTGCCGCAAAATCCTGGAGGGAGTGGTTAATATGGATTTCAGTTTAAAGGTTCTAATCCGGGATTCTGCTGTCTAATGCAGTTCTTCATTCAAACAAAGGTAAAACAAAAGGCCTGAAATTTTAATTTGATGTGATAGAGGAAAGTGATTCAGCTAATAACTGTCTTAACAACTTGTATTGCCTCGTCTCTTTTCTCTTAAACAGTCCAGAGAGCTTAGAGACAGAGGCAGAGAGGAAAAAGGGAGAGAGAGAAAACAGCAGAGAGAGAAAAAGAATGAGAAACAAGACACAGGCAGAGAGAAAAGGCAATTAAGGTTCCAGTCCGTAAGGGTACCATGGATACCTCCAAACTCTGCTTAAGGACAACAAATGGAAGGTTTCATGGTGTTCAGCCAATGTCATTTCCTCTCCCGGGAGACAAGAAACACAAGTCACTCCTGGCTACCATTGATTGAAATGTCTCACCCATAAATTACAGCTCTTTTATCCTTTACCTGATAACAGACATTTTATTTTCGCCCGGCTTTCATCAATTTATCTGAAATATTTGGATGATTAAACACAGGTAACTGACAAAGCCTGTAAATCAGAGCTACCTTTAAAATACACTGTTCAAGCTGATGTAGACATTAAAGCGATTAAGTTATCAACAACAATTTCCTCAAGTCCTAAAGCACTGCACTGTCTTGAAAGTGTAGTCTTGCTAAATTTGAATTGTTACCCAAACAGCTTTTGCAGACACGATGGCCCAAGGCAGAAGGTAAACAGCGATACACATCGGCAGGTTATTCCCCAGTGGAAAAGAAAAGTCTACTTTCTCTGGCAGCTTAATTCTAACTGGCAAAAAAGATCACTGCAGCTTCACTGTTTCTTAATTCACAATGCTTTTAAATAAATGTTTACTCTATATACAAATTTTGGCACAAGTACAAGTCACTGCTGTTATATAGAGACAAGATCCCTGTGGTTAGTTGCTGATGTGTCACATTACATCTTTTTAAAAAGCAGAGCGCTCCTGCCCTGTATAGATTTAATGGGTAAAATGGCAAAATAATTTAGTTAGGATTTAATATTTTGAATTATTCATTAAGTCATTAAGAAATGTTCATGGTAATGCATGCTCATATAGCGTATAATTAATTCTGCCGACCAGAAGACTGCAACAAATTGAGTTGAAACTCAAATACAGCTCAGGAAATGATAAATAAAACGACATGAATAAAAGGAGATGAGAAAGGTACAACCTCCCAGCCATTGGACATATGGTAGAAAAACAGGAAGCTGACACCGACTCTGACAGTGAGACTTGGCATTCCTTCTTTCCTATCAGAAGTTCAGACTCTAAATACAGCAACTCCGTGACCTCTAGATGCCACTGGGGTTCCACATACGTATCCAGTTACAGGAAGAGACGGAGGCACAGTCACAACACTGGGTCAAAATAAAGAACACAGATATACTGTAAGCACTGAAACAAAACTAGGATAGAAAACTATTTATAACGAAGGTGAAGTGCTGCTTATCAGAAAGACAAATCTTCAGACATGAACATTATGTATGCCACGATGAAGATTAATTTGAGTAATAAGACATTGGTTTTGGTATTAGACTGTTCTGACTTTTCTTGATTTCTGTTTGTTTTTCATGTTGTTGCTTCTTCAGTACATTCACAGTAAAAGTGTAGTTTTGTATGACTGATGATTGTATCTATTCATCATGAGACAAGAGAGCAAGAGCACTAAACTGTGTACGGCACATCAGTTGTATTCTCTGTATTAGAACTATGTTAACTGTATTATTGTCATGTAGATAAAAGGTTATTGTATTGTATACAACGCATTATGAATTGAACTGTTGTTAACAGTTTTCAACAGCTACTGTATTACAGTGTATCACCGTGAAGCACACATTGTGTTCAGCAGTAGGCACCTGACTTTAATTTGTGTGCATGCCAACCAAGCTAGACGTTATACTGCCTTCATGGGCTTATCAAACAATTAGTTCTCTTGAGAAACCACTAAAGTTCCTTTATTGTTCAAGGAAATTAAACAAGGCTGCTGTACTAACCTGAATGCTTCGAAATTGCACATAACATCAATAATGTTGTGTTTACTCGCTAAGAATCTATCATCTCCATGTTTTTTCGTCATCCTTTTCTAATGCAAGTGGACAAGACTCCCTCTAGATATTAGTATAAAGCATGTTGAAAAGAAAAACAGTATGTGGAGTAGTGCAATTCATAAAGTACCGAGTTACAGGTAAAGCCCTAAAGAGGAAAAGGCAAGGAGAAGGGTTACTTTATCCTGTAACTGAGCCAAAAAAAAAAGACTTACTAGTGTACACAATCAGAGGCAAGCACTGTGTATGTGAAATCTTTTCAAGGTTACGGTCGATGATCAAAATTCTACTTAAACCTTGTGATTTAGCACAACATGCCAAGAGGCAGTGTCAACACTCCAGGCCAGGGTTCTCAAACGTCCAGCACGCAGGCCACTTGTGGTGCACGAACCACACACATGGGGCCCTCAACTAGACATCAGCATAATGTAATCTAAACCCCAGTTGATATTTCGTCCTTTATTAGATGGCAGGGGTGAACCCCATGATGCAAAATGCCTCAGACATTCATGTGTTATGTTCTTATATCATGGATAATCACCAATAATAAGAACCAATAATGTATTGGTTCTTATGAAATAAGTTTAGATCAAGTTAAAGTATTTATAGTGAACAAAAATGATCACCATAATGTACCAGCACAACTGAATTGTAAAACATGACGGTTAATCAATGTTTTGCCCAACACACCAGTCAGGGAAGAGGAACTATATAGTTGATGTTAAGAAATGTCATAATTTTTGAACAAAACTGCCTCCATCCTTCAGTGGTTGTACAATGTGAAAGTTTATCTGAAATCAATGTACTATTCCACAGTTCCAGTTTCACCTCAAGAGTCGATATCGTTCGTTTAATCGAGAAAACTGATATCGTGATAAATCCGACCGCACGTGAAGGCAGCAGTCACTGTTTCAGTCACTTTCACTACTATAGACGAAGCAAATATCCGTGCTCCTCCACCCAGAACCTTAATAAAATGCTAAGAATGCTAAATAAATGAATAGATAAATTATTTTAACCAAAGAGTGACATATTTTGTGACTCAGCTGCGGTAAAACAGCGAGGAGAGTTCATCGATTCAAGCCTTCCTTACAATTAAACAAAGAGTCGAACTCTAACTGGGATTTTATGATTTACTTTCATTGTTAAAGTACGGACAAACACGTAACAAATGGGTTACACGTGACAAATCCTTCCTGAAAACAATTCAACAAATGTAACTCTCCCTGATGCAGATGTTTTAGAGTAGCCGGTGCCAGTTGCTGAGCCGCTGTAGCAGCTTAGCACTAGCTTGTATGATTCTATATGTGAGAACCGGAGCAGCAGATGTAGCCTTTCAGCACTCTGCACTCCGGATAGCACTGTACAGAGTCGGGATATGATTGGAGTAGGATGTTCAAAATTACTATGCCGGGACACATTGTGGCCAAACAAAACAAACCGTCCAGGAAGCGTGCTGTTTTATAAACGAACTCTAGAGTCAGTTCGCTGCGGAGGTTTTTGTATGAACCACGCCGAGCAGCTAACCCAAATGATGAATGGGAAAGCGGACCTCGCCCATAAGCTAGTGTTAGCATCGCAAGAGTCAGTGCAGCGAGTGTACACGCTCCGAGGCTGCTAGCATAAAAAATAAATCACATTCCTCATTTCAGCTGACAAAGTACGGCATCTCCCCCTGACTACTCACCGTTAAAGGTATAAGATGACACTTCCTGGAAGTCCACGAAGTCTATGCAGCGCTTGTTCACACTGGGTATTCCCACAAATGTAACTGCCCACCTGCTTAGCAGAGTCGAGAGTACAAAGTGCAGCTCGAGTCAAACGTGGACGCTTTCCTCAACGCCGTGGTGCTGAAGATATGGCTACACGTTTCTGTCGGCGTCTGGGGAAAGGCCTTCTCCTCCCACTCCTCCGACGATTTCCTGCGAGATAATGACCCCTCCCAGCGCTGCGACCGCAACAGATTTGTCGGCAGGTGCAGTTGTTGATGCGCTACGAGCGGAGAGCTTGGCAATATAGTGGGGCTGTGTGGTGGATCCGAGGGTTGTCAAATCCGGGGTGGCTACTACGCATGCGTCATTCTTGGGGTAAGGATGCGACCCTATGATCTATCCACCCGATCTTTGGGAGGGTGTGGTTTCTGCTTCAGTGCATTTTGCAAAAAAGTGTTAAAAAGAAAGTAGAACTTGCACCATGAATGCAGAAAGAAATGTGTCTAAAATGCAATGCATTTTATATACCACCAATAATGTTTACTTGATTACTTACTTACTCCTATTATACCAGGTTTAGGCAATCATCATTTAAAATATGTATTTTTATTTTATTATACCAGGTTTACTCTTAGGCGATCATCATTTAAAATATGTATTTTTATTTTTATTTGCAAGTATATATCTATATGTAAATGATTTATTTTGTTGGTACATTGGAGATTACTTGGCTCTTAAAGTATTTTTCCTAATCTAAAAATGTTTCTTCTTCTTCCTAAAGTGCCCACTGCTCCTCAGATATTGGTTTAAATTAGAGAAAAAAATGAACTCTACAAGAACCAATAAAGCAAATTCTGTCCACTTAAGTCATTAGAGCTTGAAGAAAAATAATGCCCTGTTGTGTATTAAAAATATTCTATTGTGACAATAATTTGATAAATAATGATAAATAAAAATATCAGTTTTGGGGTTTGTAATCCCAATGGATTTGAATGCATTTATCATTTCAAAATTTAAATTAAAATTATTTAGTATTATAATTATGTGGTTAAATACATTCTGATGATTGTGAATCAATTATGTACTTTATGTTCTTTTATTTGCAGTACTGTATTTTTACAATTATCCATCTAAATTATTACTTTTTTCCCTATGTATTCTGAAAAATCACACAATTTTGACAAAATAACAATTTCTACTTTTTCCTTTGTTATGAACTAACATATGTTGTGCACCATGGAGGACTCCACAACCAAAATCCTACTGTATTTTCATTTGGTAGCATGACTCAGGAAACATAGCCAAAAGCAAGTTTTGCCTTTGCCCTGGCAACAAACTTTGTTTCAAGGACGTGCCAATAACAATATACTTTACAGTATACTACGTTTCTGCAGGAGCAGCTTTTAAGAGCACTATAAATCTTTCCATCATGTGGAGGCAGGCTGAGGAGTGGATGCTTTTTAACGTCAGATATTTAATTTTTGGCATGTAACATGTTTTCTTTTCTTTGGACTATATATATATATATATATACACACACACCAGCACTGCTGATATTTGAAGGCCTTATTATTATTATTATTATTATTATTATTATTATTATTATTATTATTTCTTGGTCTCTGTATTCTGTATTGTATTCTATCCTATTCTAATTGAACTGAAATTCGGTTTCTGGTATTGTTGAGTCATTCTGTGACAATTATTTACTCTTTGCAAATTATACTGTACAGTTGTATTTATTATATTGCTTTCTATCTATATGCACTTTTAATTAATAGTTTAGCATTTATATTTGTCATCGCATTTCTCTACTTGTTTTTTTTTTTAATTTCAAGACTATTTTGGTAAACATTTCATTCTTTGGCATTTCAATAAAATTAGTTAATGAGCTAAAAAGTATTACAATATCAACCATGGTTTTTCTTCCTCTGTCTACTCTCAGGTATTACTTTGCCCTGGGTTGCAGGAGGTCATGTCAGAGTTTGTGTCCAATTGCTTTGCTTTTCCTGAAACTTGGGGATCACAAGGCTTTTCAGTTTAGATGAGAGTCCATGTGTATTCTACCCCCACCTGGAGGGATACTTTTAGTTGAACATTTTGCCCGACATGAAAAAAAATCCAATCACATGCCAGAGCAACATGAACTGGCCCTGAAGCAATAGATGTGAAATACAACTCCGTGCTCTCAGCACTTATCTGTAGCTGCTCACACTGTCCTTATGGATGAGTCTGAATGCGCATTAAAAAAAAAAAAAAGAAATCTTAATATCGGCCACCGCCTAGAGCTCATGACCAAAAGTGATGTTTGGAACACAGCCAATATGCTGAAATTGTGGGCTATACTTTCAAACTCTTATGGCAGAGGGCAGGTTTCCTCAAGTATTACTTGAGTTTGTATGGCTGTAAGGCTGTAGATACAAGCTAATACTATTGATTTAAATATGTTGTCCAGATCAATACATTTAAACTATCAGTACGAAAGAATTTTCTAGAGAAGATAATCGTTGTACTGTAACTGTGTGTGTGTGTGTCTGTGTGTGTGTGTGAGTGTACCCAGTGCCATCATTTTCTTCCTGCCCGTTTTTGTCTTGGGAGAAGAAAACAGCTGGAACAGCAGCCCATTGTCTCCCATCTGCTCTTGTTTTTACCACATGGCAGTAAAACAGCACAATGTGTTTCCATGCTGATTGTCATTTGTTGAAGCCCATGACTGGGGATGGGAGCGGGGGTGGAAGTTTTACACTTAGTTACACTAAATTTGAGCCATGCCTCCAACAGGCTTTCACCATGTTCTTTATTTGCCTGATGCCACCAGAGCAACATCATAGAGCAAAGAAAATGGGTTTCAATTTATAAAAGAAATCTTAACAAGTGTGATTAAGGTTCGTAAACACATTCAAAGAGTCATAGAATAGGTTTCCTCGAAAAATATAAATTTGATATCGTCCACAAACTAGCTTCTACCACTTTCCTAGCATATTAGGAATACATATGTATTTATTATACATATATATACATTCAATTTTAGCAAAGAATAAGGGAGGGAGATATTTTCAATTCAGTTTCTGTATAGATAGATAGATATATTGTGTTCTATGACTATTGTTGTAACTGCACATTTTTGATCAGGTGAATGTATGAATGTAATTCATACTATGAGAATAAGGTTTAGGTCACTCCCTGTCTTAGTATGTCATGCACAGGTTGTGTGCATTGATACAGGGTCACTTTAGAGCATTTTCATCACAGCTGTTGCATGAATGAGTCATGTTTTTGTCATTGATCCAACTCCTTGAAAACGCTGCATGATGATGTCATAGTGGGCAATTCACTGAATAAAAAACCAAAAACAAATATCTCTCCAGAGATCTGAGAGATTACTGTAGCTGTTTGTGCTGAAAATTGTCAAGAACCTTCACAAACAAGCAACACTGAGTAACAGTCATAGAGCTGGTCTCCTTTTTCTTCCTAAAGTGATTAGATGAAGAGAAAGCAACAGTGACGCACAAGGAGAAACTGATTGATGGTAACGTCTGCATGTGTTTAGAGGACGAGTACGTCTGTCCAAATGTAATAGAAGTTCAAAAATAATATTAGACATATTTAAGGTGATCTTAACCTACTAGAGCACTCAGATATTTAAACCCAACAAATCATTCAGTTCTCTGTTTTTGCTCTTGAGACATTTTTGACATTCCTCTAAAAAATTAAAGACTCTCTTTGAAGATTAAGACTTTTTGAGTTTGAGGGCCGGGCTTAGTAGAATAATTAGATATGGTTAAGATTAAGATATCTTTTAAAGTGAGATATTTGGTTGGGAGCTATGTGAGTAATGTGTGTTAATCCTAATCACAGTTCAGGCAGCACAGTGTTTGCACATCTGTGTTGTACTTTGTATCACCAATAAAACTACAGGATTGTCCTTTAAAGTCAGGTCAGTAATAAAGTTCTTCACTGACGTGTACTGGCTGAGAAAAAGACTTCTGAGTTTAGAGTCGATAAAATACACACTTGTTTTATGGGTAATATAACGAAAAGACTTCTGAGTTGAGAGTCGATAAAATACACACTTGTTTTACTTGAAAGCTACTTGAGGTTAAGAAAACGTTAGCACAGTTTCTAATTAAAACCAGACGTACTATCATGTACCTGGCCACTGAGTGAGTGACTATCAGTTTCATCAGTTCATTAAAATACATTTTGTCCTGCTGTATAATAATGGTAGCAGTGGCCCCAATCGTTTTTGAGTTTGAGAACCCTGATGTAAAACCAAACAAACTGACAGAACGTCAGTTTGTCAGAGCAGAAGACACCCAGTCCTCAGCTGAGGTGTCGTCTGATGTAAATTGAGGCAGATGATGTTATGGATGAGGACTGGAGGAATCCACACAATGCTGCTGTTAGACAGCAGAGGTGAGCAGGAAGCACAGACGTTGCCTCAGTGGTTATGAAATAGTAAACCAGCAGAGAACAGAAACAGAGCTCAGAGGGACTCAGGAGATTATGATAATTTGCAGCAGGGATCGGTGGCCGTACAATTCATGACAAGTTTTCCAGCAGCAGCACAGCAAATATCAAAGCCAGAGTCTAATTATATTATCACTCTCACTTTTCATCATCCTCTGTTTTCTGTCCCTTTTTGCGCATATATATATATATTTCTGTTTTCTGTCCCTTTTTGTGCATATATATATACACAAACACACATATATACATATATGTCCATGTGTATATATACATATATATATATACATATGTATATATATATATGTATATATGTGTGTGTGTGTATATATATGTGTGTGTTTGTGTATATATATGTGTGTTTGTGTATATATATATATATGTATATATGTGTGTTTGTGTATATATATATATATGTATGTATATATAAATACATATATACGTATAAACTTAAACCTTAATCCCAATCCAAATAATCTTTCTCTTGGAACAGAATCACAATAGCATTAACAAACTGTTGTCATTGGTGACGTCCACATTGGCAGTGAGATCAATGTACTATTTTGTACAATGTAAAAAGACACTTCAGAACCAAGCCCACTTCAGTACCCATGTCAGCGTAATGCTGAATGCTACTTACTTGCATTACTAACATGTCATATTTCTAATTGCATTTTCCATGGTCTTTCATCTTTTCTAGCCACAGGGTACGCATTCACTTTTACAGTTTTTGACTCTTTGAGGAAAAGTAAAGGTTACACTCATTAAGCTGAAATGAATTGCAAATAGCACGACACCCGCCGCCCTCAGTGTCTTTGTATTCGCTATGGAAACTGGATCAGAACAAGCTGTCAGAGTGGTTTAATGTCAGACATTTTATATCAAGCATATACTGTATTGTCAGAGTTTGCTGCTCGCACTAATAAAACCAACATATAAAAAGCTGAAGGACCCACGTATTACAGCATTCAAGACCAGAATTTGAAACAGCCCTGAGTGGGACAGCAGCTGTTTTATGGTGTGGGCATTGTCACTAAGTCTGACATACACAATGTTACACAAACCTGCCCTA